AGAGGCACCTATCCTCCTGGGTTCTTTCAGAGTTCAGGGAATTGCGGGGTGGAGGGGTGAGAGGAGTTCAGATACTGGGGTTCAACTACCCCCACCCCTCCCCAGCCCTGCTGTACTGAATAAACATGCTGTACCCAATAGGGTGTTGTGGGGGGGGGGCCTCTTCTGGTCTTCCCTCCCCAGGGCTGGAAAAGGGGCTTTTGACTGCATCATTACACCCAGCTGCTGCCCCATCTCAGAGCTGGGTGCATCTTGGTTCTTGTCAATGCTGCTAGATGAGGCTGTCCTGTCCCAGAAGCAGGTGCATCCCAGTCCAGGGGGAGGCTTTTGTACCCAGATACCTCTGCCCTAGAGCTGGGTCCACTATGGTATCCTTCACACCATATTATAGTGGGCTGTTTCTAACCTGACCCATGCTGGAGCTGGTTGCAGCTGAGCTCTCCTGGCTTTATTGTACCCTGCTGTGCTCAGCTACCCCTGACCTGGGTATAACCTAGTGTTCCTGGTGTTCTGTTATACATGGCTGTCTTACCTGTTGCATCCCAGAGCTGGCTGCAGCTGAGCACTTCCCAGGTGCTGTTATGACCAGCCATCCACCCCCAACAGAAGGGCACATCTGTGTCCCTTGTGGGCAGTATTAGGTACACTCCAGAGGTGGGCACATCTAATCCGTCCTGGGTATTGTTACACCCAGCCACTCCTTGGCTGCCCCACCCCACAGCAAGGCCGTTAAACCATATATTGTACCCTAGACATGACTGAACATCGATATTTAGTTGTTCCCCAGGGCTGGGTGCATCCCAGCCATCCCTAGATGCAGCCGCAGGACACAGCCTATTAGAAAAGCACTCCCTGGCAGGTTTATTCATCAGCATCTGGATAACTTCCCATGTACAAAACTGGAGGGTGAGACTGAGGGGGTGGAGCCAGCCCCTCCCCCTCATGTCCCTGCCCCCCCATTCTCGGGGGAGGGGAAGTGGCTGGGTTTGCTGTCTGCTGCAGCCAGAGGCGTTACCACGAGCTGAACAGTAACATAAAAGGGGAGGGGCTTATATAAAATGAAGTGAGGGTTAAAGACAGGCAGGCCCTGGCTTGGCTCCCTTGCTGGCAAGCCCCGCCCCCTAATGGAGGAAGAGACGGGTGGGACTAAAACGGAAGGGTGGGCTCTGCTAACATGACTGGGAGGGAAGGGCTGAGAGGAGAGTTATGGAGACGGTGGGGCCTTCTTAAAGGAACAGCTTCCTAGAAGTGGGTGGGGCCGGCCTCCCTTAAAGCTGGGGGTTAGGAACTGCCTCGCAGAGGCAGTAGTCTCCCCCCCCACCTCTTTCAGTGGGCAGCACCTGTTTTAAAGGGGCAGACCTGCCCTTAAAGGTGCAAAATCTCTCCTGGAGGGTAGAATCTGCCTTAAAGCAGTGAAACCAGCCTCAGAAAGGATGGGGCTTGCCTTGAAAGGCACCACCTCCCTGAAAGGGGGCAAGGCCTGCCTTTAAGTGGGAAACCTCCAACCCTCCCCTCCTTTCACCCTCATGACTCGTCCTCCATGCTGAAGCTGCTGCGACGGCTGGAGCCCTTGGAGGCACCGGGGGAAACGGCCGAGAGCAGGGGGTCGCCGGTG